GAGAGCCGTAAGGGTGGAGTTTCTGTGGAACCAGACAGAACTGGAATTAGCTCGCTGTCTACTGAGGCCTGAGTGGCCTGCTCCTGCTGTCTGCTCTTTCTAAGGTGTTCAGACAGACCCTGGCATCTCCAGCCCATTTACAACTGCCCCAGAGGAAATGGCAAGATGGCATGCACTTGAGTGTCTCATATGGGAGAAGTGTAACAGCCAGTGCAGACCAGGGAGACCTCAGTTTCCCTGCCTGGACCTTGGAATACAGAAGGTGGCTGCCAGGAACTGACATGAAAATGTCATCTGACATGTGCTCAGAGCAGCAGCATTCAGCTTTAACAAAAGCAAGGGCACCAGATGAATCTTCCTATACAGACATCACTTAAAAATGATGAGGATGGTGCGGGTGGTGACAGCAGCTAGTTCACAGTGTGCTTCTCCTGCGCCAGATGCCTTGCAAAGCATGTGCCCCGAGCTTAATCCTCGCAAGAACACTGTTATCCCATCTACTTTGCTGATGAAAAAGCCGAGTCTCAAAAAGAGGCTAGCCTGAGACCACAGAGGGATAAGCGTCCACACCTCCCACATCGCTCACTATGTTATTTTGAACTATCTCCTGGCAGAGCTGCCTCTTGTTACTGACCTGAGAGCTCCTGAGTAAAGAGTGTGACAGATTCATCTGTCTATTTTTGGCATCAAGCCCAGGGACTGGCCCAGGTCTGAGGCCACTACACACTGCACTGCATCTCCCTTCTCACTCCTCCTTCTGAGGTCTGGGTTCACAGCCCTCTTGTGAGGAGAATAACAATACCCTGTCCAGTGCTGGGAACTCAGCAGATGCTTCACCAAGTGGATATGCTGCCGAAATGCCACTGGACCCCTCCCGGGCCCCTTGATGCACAACCTTTGATGCTTAGCCTGACACTCTGGTACCCTTGTCTCCTCTCTCAAGTGAGAAGGATAATTCCTTCAAAGACAAGGACTGGGTCTCATTTCTCCTAATGACTTCAAATAAGCTGAACAAGCACCTGTCCCGGCCTAAGCAATTACTTATTATACTAAAAAAAAACAAAAACAAAAACAAAAAAAAAACCCCAACAACAACAACAACAACAAAAAACCACAACAATTCAAATAAAAATTCCAACTCAAATTGGAAGCAATTCATAGCCGACTCCTTAGTGTATTTTTGAAGGATGTAAAATCCTATGGGAAGAGATCATCTGTCTTTTTCCCTTGAGTATGGGTGGTGGATTTGAACCACCAAAGGGGTGCACCTTTGGGTTAGAGTGCAACCCCCTAACAGACGACACCACCAGAGCTCCCATTTATTATATGTTCTTGTTGTTAGCCATCAAGTTGGAACCAACTCATAGCTGACCTTCCAGAAAGTTTTCCCAAGCAGTAAGTGGGAGAAGAGTGTTCAGGTTAAAATGGCACAAGCGTGTACACTCTACTACTAATATAAAGCTTGGTCATTAGAACCCACATCCTGATGCCACAGATAAGGTTTACAGCCAAGAAACCTCTGTGCCGCCATTCTGCCCTGTAAAGCATGAGTTCTCCACAAGTTCGAATCAACTCGATGGCAACAGGTCGGGTTTGGGTCTTGATTGTCTCTAGTAGCTTAAACCTCAACGGTCAGAGGTAAGACCACCTCTGAGTTATCCCAGATTGGAAGCAGTGCCACCACAGCAGGGAACTGAGTAAAAGGACTACACCTAACAACAAGAACCACAGAGGGAAGAAGAAAAGTAGATGCCCTGCAGGGATAGGCAATGAGCAGCGGGGGTGGGGGGCAGCACTTCGATGAGGAAGGAAAGGAAGCTGGGAGAAGAGAGGAAGTCGGTTATTTATGGTTATTTCTTTCTAATAGAGAGTATGCATACAGGCTACCCAGAGCCGCCTCCTGCTTACCGTGGTCAGCTCAGAAGGAGCAGGGGGAAGGGAGGGGCGCTGCCAGAGAAGTGATGAAGTCTGGTTACCATCTACCTCATTGCGCCGATCCTGCTGCACCCTCCCTCCCCCCACGCGGAAAGGCTTCAGGTCTCAGAAAAGCCCATGCTTCTCCCTGTCGCTTCACCCCCACACAAGAACAGAGCTGACCTCCACAGACAGTAGACTTGACAGGTAGCCATGCTGTATAGAAACCTTTAGGGCATGGCTCCCTGATGGAGACTAGGTGAGCACAAGCCCTCTGCTCTCATGATCATCACTGAGCTCAGTGAGCGGGGAGGGGGCCACTGAGGCTACAGCGTGACGTGAGAACCAAAGCTCAAGACCACTAACAGCTCACCTGCCTCTTATGTGTACTGCGTGCGAGTCCATCTTCCTCAGGCTCCTACCACCCTTCTCAACAAGCACCTCTGTCACGTTTAAGACAAGTCACACATACCATATTTATTTTTTTTTTGGACAGAATTTGACATTTAACACATACCATATTTTACACATTTGGAGAGACTTTTTCTTTCCTTCAGATGTTGGAAGAACTTTCCAAGCCAGGCTGTCAAAAAGCACCCTGCTGAACGCAGTGGAGACGAGGGTTGGGCAGGGGTAGCCTAGGTGTGGAGTGAGGGCTTCCCCCACTTCCCCCAGAGAGAGATCTGAGTTGAAGGATGGCTTAGGCACTGTTTTCCATGGTTCAGAAGAAGGTGGAACATGTACAGAACATACAAAGAAAATGTGTAAAGGTTTGCTATTCAGTCAGGACTTAGCGAAATTGGTCAGTGGGGCCTTTTATGTCAAAGAAGTAAGAAGTCTCTCTCTGAGATCGACTTGGCCGTCCCTGTTATCCCCTGCACAGATTGACCTGAGAGAAAAGGCTGTGGTCCAGTCCTTTGGAAAGGAGGTCTGCAGTGGCCCTGAGGCCCTAGGACCTGATGGATAAGGGGGCCAGCTGGAGCATCAGCCGTGCCCAATCACGAGTGTAAAACGTTCCTGGAACTACAAGGCATTGGGAAAAAAAAAATCTCATTTACTGGAACTTCTCTCAGGAAGCATTCTATAAGTGGTTGAAAGGAATAAGATGCTAAGACATCTTAAGTGTCTACATTAAAAGTGGGGAAGAGGAAATTGGACAGCGAGACCCCCGAGGGACCTTCCTAACAAAAGATGGTTACAAGACAGCTTTCTGAGGAGGGTGAGCTCAGTGGAGGCTACGAGTCTGAGGCAGGGCCCTCTTCTCAGACCAACAAGGCAGTTCTGAGACTGTCCCATCAATTAGATCTTCTCTTTTTACATCCTCCTGACCAGCACACAGCTACTTCATTAGAAATACATTTAAACAGCTATAGCTTAAAGAGGTGCCTAAATGTTGCTACCCAGATATCTTGTGTGACCCTCATCTCCTTGGGCCCTTGCACCATCAGCCTTCCTAATCTACAGCCCCACATGTACCAGAGCTTGTCTCAGACTCGAGCCTACCTTCAGTCATTCAAACTGCCCTCCAGAGAGATTGTTTTCCAAAGCACTAAGCTGGCTGAAAGCCAGCACAAAGAACTCTCTCCTCTAGACCCAGACCAGAAGGCATTAAGCACAAAGGAAAGAAAGCTGAGGGCATCCGTTCAGTCCTGCACCATGTGAGGGGCTGCCCAGTGCAGATGGGCTCGTTTGTGACTGTGACCAGCGCAGGACCTCTGGGGACAAGGTGCCTGCAGCAACAGAAGCAGGTGTCTACTCAGAAGAGCCTGCCAGCGGGACTGAGCCAATGCCGCATAGAATCACCTGGGCTGGGACAGGGGCAGTGCACCCTTACAGTTAAGGTTAACTGAGCCCCTACAGTCTACGAGACGTCATGCTACAAACACTGTATGCACCATCTCATTTCATTCTCGCCACAACCCTCTGAGTAGGAAATACTGTCCCCAGATCACATCAAAGCACAAGCAAAGCTAACGAGTTGACCACAGTCACCAGCCAGCTAATGATGGTGTGTAACTCAGAAATCCATACTGTCCCCAATGTCTACTCTCAAATTTACCCTGGCCCCTCCTGGCTCCTGTGAAAGAAGATACAACTTTTAAGGCTAACAATCCTCAGAGCCTTTTTCCCTCATGGAGTCGCTGGGGAGCTGCTGTCCACCATAGTCTCTCCGTAAAAGGCTGGCCCAACACCTCTTCCCCACCCTCCTGCCCTCAGCAGGCCTGTCCTCCCACCCTCTCATCACAACAAGCCTCAGCATGTCGGGAAGAAGTGGACAGGGCAGCCAGCTGAGGCTCAGCCGCTAATCTTCTTCACGTAGCTTTTCCCCCAGAGCCAGCCCAGCAACCACCTCCGCACCTTTTGCAGCCAGCTAGAGCATGTCCTCAAACAGCCAGCACATTCACCAAGAGAAGGGACCTGAGGGATTCACAAATGAGGGGGATATAACCATGCCTATGACTGGTCAAGGCAAGGCAGAGGGGGAGCCTGTGGTCCGGGCACTGGGCAGGAGGCCCACCGGTTGAGTGGTGCTCATTTCAGGTCAGCTTCTGTAGGCATCTAATATTCCTGGTGCTGCAGCTGGCCTCCAGTCAGCCTGGCTGGCCCCCAGCCCCCTGCAGTCCACACTTAGCTCCACTCAGCTCTGGCCTGCATCAAATCTTAGCTACTTCTGCAGCAAACACCCCCTCTTAATTCTATCTGCCTTGGCTTGGTGTTAAACAGCAGTGTGCTATCCTTGGGTATAGCTATGCAATAGCAGAGAAGGGGTACCAGCCAGGCAGCGGCAGGCAGGGAGGCCAGACCAAACACAACCTTTCTACAGGCAAAGGAGACAGCGGAAAATTGATGGATCATGCTTATTTTGGCTCTGTCTGCCTTCAGCACAACGTTAAACCCCCAGCAGTAGACCACATGAAATGGCAAAAAGGAGAGACATTTGAGCCCTAGCCCTCTTGCCAAGAGCTCACTGCACAGATCCAAGTTCTAGGCTTGGGCTGACCCCAAACTCAATGCAAAGGGTTCAAGGGTCCAGGCTGGCTAAGAAGTGAGGCAGCCCAGGCTGTGGCCGTGGACAAGGTCCTTACCTTGTTCTCCGGGGGTACAGTGGCCAGCTGTTGCTGCTTGGCGATGTTCTCCGACAGACACCAGCACACTCTCTTCTTCTGCTCCTGAGAGTGTGCTTCCAAAGTGAATAAGCACTCTGCCTTCTGACGTCAGAGAAAATAGAGAAAGGGATGGTCAGGGCTGCTCCCTGGTTTGGGGGGCTCCCCAGCCCAAGCCCATCCTTGGGCTCCAGAGGGCAAGGCTGCAGCTCAGTAGGAGTGTCAGCTAAAAGCCACAAATGCACACAAATCCCCAGTGGCATCGAGGCAGCCAGGGGAGTAGGAAAGCTGGTTCAGGGGCCAGCTGGCGAGCCCTGGCCCCACAGCTGAGGGAAGGGAGGGAGGCCAGTGGTTCCCAGCACAGTGGAGGCCTGTGGAGAACTGCTGGGCAGAGATGATGAGGTCACCCCTGGGGGCAGGCAGCACAAGGCAATTGAGTATGCCAGAGAGCCAGGGTCTCAGACTGAGGCTCTGCGGAGCCAGAGCCCCTCCCCAAACTTAGTACTCTTATCTAATCACAAGATTGCCTCTCTAGGCCAGACACATGGATGGACAGACACCAACCTAACCCAAGAAGCCTCTCTGGTCCCTTTGGAAAGTCTGTGGCAGGCAGAGTCACATGACCCAGTATAGTGTCTCCAGTGCCTGGCACAGGATCTGTGTCTGATCAACAGTTGTTCAGGTCAGCCAAATGCAGCAACTTCTGTGATGATGCTGTCCTTGAAAACCCGCTTTTCCCATTAACGGAGCCTTGGTGGCACAGCGGGTAAAGCACCTGGCTGCTGACCAAAAAGCTGGTGGTTTGAATCCATGGTTGTTCCAAGGGAGAAAGGCACAGCATTTAGCTTCTGTAAAGATTACAGCCTTAGGAAGCCAATGGGGCCATCCTACAGAGTCACAATGAGCAGGGGCAGGTTACCCAATGAATAAGGTAAGAAACCCATGTGAGTAGTCCATTATAGATTAGTTGTTGTTGTTGTTGTTGTTGTTGTTGTTGTTGCTATATGTGACTGAGTCGACTATGACTCATAGCCACGCTGTGAATGACAGATCAGAACCCGGACTCCCCAGTGGTTCCAAGATTCTGACAGATTAGTAAGCAGGCATGCTCATGGGGTACCAGCCCTCTCAGGAACTGTAACTTTGATAAGAGGCATTGATTTAACGGAAAGGCACTATGGAATTGGTAGAGATGTCTGCCGCACCTAGAAGCAGAACCTTCTAACATGATAAAAAAAATTTTAAATTATTCTCTACAGATTAGTAAGCACAAGTCAGGCTATGCTTATCTTGTTTATTGGGTAATCCAATCCCAACTATAAGTCAGAACTGACTCCATGGCAATTAATTTTTTGGCTGTCTTTTTTTAGATTTTTTTAATTTTTCCTATTATGAAGTGCCACAGCCCTAATTCCCTGAGAAGAGTGCAAACCCTTTCTACTCTAGGCCTTTTTCATCTGTAACTAGCACTGTGCTTGGCACACAGCAGCCGAGGTAATCTCTAGCTGCTGCCCGGGGAAACTTCCGTGATGAGGTCAAGTCCAGGCCAGCTTTGGCACAAGCCCAAGGTGCTGCTGGGAGCCAGGGGTGCGGCCACAAAGCAATCAGACAGTGCCGGTGTGAAACAGCGTGTCCAGTGCTGTCACCAAGCCTTCAAAGCAGATCAGTGATGGCCAATGAAATCAGAATAGAAATGACTTTTCAAAATGGAATGGAAAAAATTCCAGCTCAAAGCCTTGGAACAGGAGACTTGAAAGAGGTGTTGCAAGGGAGTCCTTTTAGAAGCCTGCAGCAGGAGACTGGACTACAATCAGGGCTGTGAAAAATAACATACGTTCAAAGTGGCTCTGCCAGCTGCCATCTTTGAGCAGGGCATTGCTATTTTCAACTTCACTGGTCAAGAAGTTCAGTCACTATTCAGTGCCTTTGCTCTCCGGGAGATTAAACTCCTAGTAGAATATCAACTAGTAAATTTTCCTGTTCCTCTTAATATTCTGGTTCACTCACTTTTTACAAATCTGGGTCCATTCCAAGTTCTCTTTATCAGCCATGACTGAATTGGGAAGAAGTGATTTGAAGCCCTGTTATCCCCACCAGAAGGCCCTTTCAGACTCCGCTAGAATTTTATTATAACCTCAGAGGACTACAATTAGATAAACATACCAGGGAGCCAAGAACATAAACGAGATGGTTTACAAAGGAGAAAAAAAAGAGTGTTTCTACCCTGGCCTTCCTCCCTTAGCAGTTGGATCTCTCTGTCTCTCTCTCTCATCGCCACTGAGATGCAACCAACTCAGAGCTGATCCTTGAGCAGGTTTTTGGAGGCTGTAAATAGCCAGGGAGGAGATTTCCCATATTTCTTCTGAGGAGCCTTGGTGGATTCGAACCACCAGAAAGGCACTGCCTTTGGGTTATCTGTGAAACTCCCGAGGGACTATACCGCCAGGGCTCTTTTGCAGTTGGATAGAGCTGGCTAAAGTCCAGCTTAAACTCTTCCTAGCTGTTGACTTTAGGAAACAAATTCCCAAACTCTCTGTAATATGGGAATTATAATGGCACCATCCACTTTGCAGAGCTACTGAGAAGGCAAGCAACAAGGACAACTGCAGACCTCAACAGACTGGGACTATTGTTATTTTCCCTTCACTTAATAAACATATCCTGATCTCCAGCTACATGTCAGGGTCTATACTTGGCACTAGGAATAAAGAAGTAAAGAAGACAGAGTAAGTCCTTGCCTTTACGTTGGAATCAGAGGGAGTTGATCAGAGTCTAATAGTGGGTGATAACCAGGCTTCCAGCCAGTTCCTCCAGTTCAATGTCACCAAAACTCCTTAGCAACCGTGGTTACCCCCATTTTACTAAGGCTTACAACAAACGCCCTTGCCTTGTGGAGAATCTCATTTGAAAACCAAATCTCCTACCTAGGATGCAGAGACATCTTACTGCCACTGCCTGCCTCATGCAGAGGACAGAGCTAGTCTCTGGCTCTGACAGCTTAAGGCTGAAGGACCTAGAATATTTTAGAAACATTAGGGACCTAAACCCAGGTCTGGCCGAGGGCAGGGTACGCTGTAATAGACTGTATTGTTAGTTGCCATCGCGCCTGCTCTGACTCCTAGTGACCCCATGTGTGCAGAAAAGAACTGTTCCACAGGGTTTTCATGGCTCTGTCCTCTCAGAAACAGAATGCCAGGCCTGTCATTTAGGAACATCTGGGTGAATTCAAACAGGCAACCTTTTGGTCAGTAGCTGAAAATGTAATCATTTGTTATATGAGCAAACATTTTGTTCCCAAGACTTCTCTAAGAGCTACTTAAGGTTTTGAGCCAGCTCCTTCCAGATAGGCTGAATTCTCACCTACCAGTGCATCTGGCAGCTACACAGCTCTCCACACGTCTGACCCTGGGTGCCCTGCGGCCTGGCTCCCTCTGTATATGCACTGGTTCTCTTGACCCAGTTTGCAACTCAACTGATCCAACCAACTGGTTTCAAAGTGGATGTGCATTCTGCTTTCAGTACCAGAGTGGTCGCCTAGCACTGCCTTCTTCAGACACCCAGGCCCCAGACTCACCAGCGTCAGGCCTGACTCTCCTCACTAAAACATGGCAAACCCAAATCCAACCCTATGCTCAGCACCTCCACCTTGCTCATCCGATTCCTTTCTTTGCTAAAGTCTCAAACCTCTTCTGTTAGGACTTAAGTTTGTTCAGTTATTCTAACATTTCATTCCATTCTCCTGATGGCTCCACAAGGATTCCTGGTATAATGATTAAGCACTTGGCTATTAACTGATATGTTGGCGGTTTGAACCCACTTAGTGGCTTCCAAGGGAAGATGATCTGTTTCCACAAAGATCACAACCCTGTTGGGTGGTTCTACTTTGTCACATATGTTGGGAGTAAACACAGCTTAATGTCACCTAACAACAATGACATAAAGCAGAGAGGAAAGGCACAGGGGCCACTACTTCTCATATGAAAAAAGACCCAGAAAGATTAGTCCCAATTTCCAGTAGATCTCAAGAGGGAAGGCACCCAACTTCTGTCTTCTGCCTTCTCCAGAGCCTATAATCCTGCCCCATTTACATAACTATGTGTGTACATCGTAAAGAATGTGCAATATTTCTCTTAGCTTTCTTTTTAAAAGATCAATAAATCCTTTGTGAGGTCTTTAATGGAAAGTAAACGAATATGAAAAGCTCTTCCCCTTGTTATGAAGCTGACAATAATAATAGCTACCATTTACTGAGTGTTCGCTGTGTGCCAGGGTCTGTGCTAAGTACTTTGGACACAGCATCTTATTGAATCTCATTTAATCAGGGCAACAACCCTGCAAGGCAGGCATCACCAGCCTTGCTTCAGAGGAGATATTCTCACTTGGGTCAGATTGCTCAGTTAAGAAATGGCAGAGCGACGTTCACATGTAGATCCTCCTAACTTCAAAATCTAGACTTTTAAATCAGTGGAGGCAGTATCAGATTCTAGGTTATAAAATAGCCCTTGATCCACACATGCATCCACTGACCCAATGCCCAGTGTTCCGAGGCCAGCTCTATGCATGGATTTATAAGAGCTACCAAAAGAAGTCAAAAGACATATTGCATGGGGGAAATCTGCTGTCAAGGACCTCTCCAAAGTACTAAAGGAAGAGGATGTCAGTTTAGATGGACTACGATGTGCCTGATCCAAGTAATGATCTTTTCAATGGCTTTCCATGCATCTGAGAGTTGGACAATGAGTAGGGCCTTTGAGAGACAAATACCCTCAACAAGGTGGATGACACAGTGACTGCAGCACATGCTCAAGCATGGCAAAGACAGTAAGAACAGGGTAATAAGTAGGGACAGGGCAAGGGTAAGATCTGCTGTTCATAAAGTGGCTATGAGTTGTGGTCGACTCAACAGCACCTAATAACAACAGAGCAAGCAGACATCTTTCCCTGCATTACAGGTGAGCCCCTCATGAATAACAATGTATTAAGAGAAATGAGAGACTTCCAGCTGCCTGTGAGCTTCAACCCCCATTGCCTCACAGGCAGATCACCTGGCACTTTACTGAAATTAAAGGGCCCAAATCGATATCCCTTCATCAATTTTTGGAGGGCTGGGAGGTCACAGCTCCCTGGAAACCAATGGAGCAGAAGTGCTTTTCTCTGGGAAAAACAAACCCAGCCTGGCAGGAAGCTTTCTTGGCATTAAAGAACCTGGGTCTCATTTCAGACACTGCCCACGAGACTCAGAACCCACAGCGGTGGGTGGAGAAGCATGCTCTCAGGGCTCAGAGGTCCGGCTTCTTCCCAGCAGGGCTGACCACTTCTCTGAAGATGCACCCTGCTCTGCTCACTCGGATCTGTCCAACTTAACACCCCAGGCTTTAAAGAGCCCCTATGTGCAGGACTCTCTCTCAGAGCTCATTCAGAACCAATTCATAGTTGATCCTCCTGGAGGTCCCAAGGCTATAAACCACACGGGAGGAGACTGCCCATCTCTCCCTCAAGGAGCTGCTGGTTAATTTGAAAAGCTAGAGAGGCACCACCTTTGGGTTAGCCACGCAACTCTCTGCGGACAAAGTCACTAGACCGCCAGGCTGATCATGATGATGGCACAAGAGAGAGCGGGGTTTCAATCTGCTGTTCACGGGTGGTGGTGAGTCCCAGTCAACCCGACAGCACCTAACAACAACCACGGCAGACGGCTCTGATCCCACAGTCCACTCTGACAATGCCCACTGCCTCTGAAACTCTTCACTCTCTCCCAAGGCTAACTTCTCATCAACTCTGGTTTCTTCACCAGAGATGTGTTTAAAGACTCACCCCAGGACTTAACACCACTTTTAGCCAGAAACTGAAGGAATGGTTTACAATCACAAGCACAACATTGATTCCTTTTCTAAAGGATATAGTCCTCTTCACCTGCCAGAGTGGACCATGCATACACCCCTGGCATGTGGCCAGGGTAGACTCCCTGACAAAACAGATATTCAAGACAGGTGGGTGAGACGGACTTAAAGTAGAGGCTGATGGCAGGACTGGTCTAGGAAATCCTTGACTGGAAAAGACAGCACCCTGCAAGAGCAGCTGATGGATTTGAACTGCCAGCCTTTCAGTTGGCACTACAACTCCTCACTCACCAGGAAATTGTATGGCTCAGTGGTTCTCCACCTTTTTGTCACAAAGGATCTTTCTGATTAAACCTCTAGTCTAATGCTATTTTGTCTACCAAACTGTGTGAAGAAGTACGTTGTATGCTCATCTTTGCCCAGTCAACGTGTAGCACTGTCTGTCTGAGGTCTGCTCACACTGTGGTAACTGGGAGTACCAGTCACACTGAGAGGGGAGCACTCCAGCCCCAAACACAGCCGCTTAATGTTGACTTCAGCCTCCATTATCTGGCCCAAGTAAAAGGTACAATTACCATCTGGCCTTTTGAAACCCTGACAAGACCCTATGGAGAATAACGAGGTAAACATAAGCAACAGAGAAATCTCTATAGGAAAAAAATGAAAAGCAAACCCACTGTCTTAAGAGTTGGTTGTGACTTGTGACAATCTCGTGTGTTACTAGGGCGCTCTGGTGGCCTAGTGCTAAGGAGCTGTGCTGCCAAGCCAAAGTCAAAGTCAACCCAAAGAGCCTACTGGCTGCTCTGTGGAAGAAAAACGGGCAATCTCCTCCTGTGTGATTTACAGCCTCTAAAAACTCACTGAAGCATGAGTTCTGACCCCACAGCATAACAATAGCATGTGCTACAGAGTAGAACTGAGCCCCACGGAGTTTGCTCCAAGTCCCTGAAGGGTAGAAACAGAAGCAGTTCAGTAGACAGGTCCGGTGATCTTCCAACAGCTTCCAGCCTTGACTATCCTGTTGCGTTCAGTTCTATTCGGTACACGTGGGGCCATCATGAATTACAATCAACTTGGCAGCAAATAATGGTTTACAAGAGTAAACCTTTATAAATCGCCAAGCCTTTTTGTGGCATCGCTGGGTAGGTTTGAACCAACCGGTCAGCACCACCTAAGGACCCACTAAATGAGTAAAAAGGGAAAGGCACAGATGCCAAGTCACATTCTTTCATTACAACCCCTGAAGGTGGCCCTGAGCAGGGACCAAGGTGTCCTCCTGCCAGTCAGTGCCCACTGCTCCCTCCTCCAAGGGAGGCAGAGCAGAGATCGCTCTTCCTATTCTACAGCACAAGAAGCTCATTTTCTGGCCTTGCCCATGCCCAGCACACAAGTTAGAGAAGGCTGCTCAACATTTTCTCTCAAGGCATCAAGCCACGGATCTCTGTCCTCCAATTCACAAGGAAGGACTCACCTCTGCGAGATACAGCACACAGAATTTCAGGTCTTCGGAAGAACCTTTGAGGGGGAAAAAGTAAGGCTCACGTTAGAATGTGTGAAATCATGTCAGCAGTGGTGCACAGCCAGCTGTCTCACTCAGAAGGTGCTTCATGGAAAAAAGAGGAAGGAAAAGGGAAGGCACAAGGGAGAACAAAGCTTCTGGAGCAAAGGCCACGAGATGAACACACTGGGTGGTGGCACATCTCTCAGCCCGGCCTGCTGTTCAGCCTAGGGGGCCCAGTACCAAGGAGTTATTATCCAGCCAGGAGACCTCCCCGTCCCGTGATCCCTGCAGTGAGAGACATCCAGGCAGTAGACATTTAGGGTGCTCTTTAAACAACCTAACAGCCTGAGTCATTCTGAAATGCAACCAGGAGGCGTTTGGTTCCTGGTTCAGGACTTTGTCACCTGATGGGAAACATGTGAGTCATTGCAGAGTAGGGACCCCAATAACGGGCTCAGTAGGACCCAGTGATAACTTCCTAGCCCAGACTTGTTCCCTCTGGATGCTTCCTAAGAGCCTTTGCATCCCTGGTCCAGGCTCCCAAACTCAACCATTTGCCAAGACCCCTCAGCCTGGAAGGGAGTGTCCCTGCTCCATCCTCCTCCAGCAAGAGGTGAGGCAGAACTCCATCCACCCTGAGACAGAAGACGACCGAGTCAGGGTGCAAGGGAACTGGGGCTCATGGAGGGGAAGAGGGACAGCAAGACAGCAGGCATTTCAATTTTCCTTTAATGGATCCAACTGTCTTTACCATTTCAAAATTCAACAAAGGAAATTTCGTTCCAAAGGCACTTTGCTTCCCACAAAATAATGTGTAGGCCAGTGCAGCAGAGTCCCCAGCCATGAGCTGGGTGGAGTCAAGAGAAGACACCTGCCCAAGTCTGTGTTTTAGAGCCTCTCACCCAAGTCTAGGATTTTAAATTTAACTATTCACCAGGCCCTCTCCTGGGAGGCAAGCTTATTGTCTCTATTCTCCATTAACAGAAACAGCTTGGGGTTTTTTGTTTGTTTGGTTTGGGGATTTTTTTTTTGTCATCATTGATGTTTATTCTGTGCACATTATACTTTTTTAAAAATTAATTGTAATGAAAGTTTATGTAGACTTAGGGTTTCCAGTCATTCATTGTTGCATTTTTCTCCCTACCCCCACCCTGCCCCAATTCACTCTTCTCCTTGAAGAGAAAAAGCTCTTTCATTGTTATGCAATCCCTCCCCCCAAGTCCACTCCACTGTGCAGCCTTCAATCTGGACTTCAGAAACAGCCTATTTAAGTCATATAATAAGTAAGCAGCAGAGCCGAGATCTGAACCCAGGACCACGTGTCTCCACGGCCTGTGTTTCTGACTATAGTCTCACACTCTAATCTCCTCTAGCAGTTTACTCATCTGTCATTCCACCAGGCTCTGAGCTCTGGTGCACTGCAAATGGGTCTCTTCACTGTCACAGGGTAGACAGCACTGATGGCTCTGAAGAGATGCCCAAAAAACCCTGCCCAAGATTTAGCACTAAGAGTTCCAGAAACAGGGTCCTAAGCAGCTGAGTTGCCTGAGACTGGACACCTGGCTCCTCAGAGTGGGAGGACAGAACATGCATCAGCTGGACATTTCCAGGCCACTCCTGAGAGAAGGGAGCTGGCCAGGAAGGCAAGCCGTGGGCGGGACACTAGATGCAGGGGAGGCTGAAACACAAAGAGCCACAAAGCCAGCAGGAGGCAGAGGCAGGAAGAGACCACAATGGGTCCCCAGGCTGACCGGAGATGTCCCAATTGTTAGGGCAAGCTCTCAGCCTGTTCCCATTACCCTGCCATCCAGCCCCTCTGAAGCCTAGGGGAGGCTAGACAGGAGGAGTGCAGGGCCATCTAGTTCGGTGAGATGGATTGATTCAGTGACTGTGGTAATGGGGGTGGGTGTGTCAGAGACAATAAGGTTGGCACAGGATAGAGCAGGTTTCAGGGTGGTTGTATACAGGGTCACTATGAGTCACAAGCGACTTGACGACACATAACAACAAACAACAAATAGGAGCCCTTGAGCTGAGGCAGGGCTTCTGGTTTCCTTGCATTCATTCATTCACTCACCCAACAAGCATTCACTGGGCACCTAGGACACTCAATGTATCATGCCAGGAAGTTCAACGAGTCCTCTTGGTCAGAGTTGCTGAGGCCCCTTCAGACAAATCCCACAGGGAGCTCTTGTCCCTGGGGTGGGCACAGATCTCCTGCCAGGGAGCAGGGAGTCCTCAGCAGCCCCAGAAAGCAGGAAAGGCTGGGTGTGTTCCTTGTTTACCATCTTCTTTGCCCCAATTTGAACTCTTCACACATGTTGATTTAAAAGAGACAAACGAGGAACTTGGGATTCGTGAGCAATGCTAATCAGAGGCCATTCTGCCAATAGAAGCTCCAGCTGAGGCTCCAAAGGCATTGCTTAAAAGCTTCACTCGGGCCCTTGTTGCAGCCATGGGTCTCTGGGGGCACAGGGGAGCGGGCAGGAAATTGGGCACCAGGACTCAGACTAGTGGGTCCTGTGGCTCCAATTCCAACTACAGCAGATGGGGTCACCACGCTCTTGTGAGAGCTGCAGGCCTGTCTCAGGGGACTACAGGAAGGGTAAACGAGGGGCCTTCAGTGCCTGGAAAGAAGGCTAAGTATTGGAATACGCACCGAGAGGGCTCGATGCCATGGCTCCGCCTCCTTCACTCTCAGCTGCTCTCAGGCATGCCTTGTTCCACGAGTTTGCTGTCTGACCCTGCTCAACCCACTGCCATCCAGTCAACTTGATTCCTATTCACAGAGACCCTAGAGTACAGAACAGAACTGCCCCCTTAGGACTTCCAAGACTGTAGCTTTGAATTGTGATGCTGGCAAAGAAAATTGAATATGCTGTGGGCTGTCAAGAGAACAAACAAATCTGTCTTGGAAAAAGCGCAGCCAGAACGCTCCTTAGGAGGGACGATGGTGGAGATTCTGTCCTGCATACTTTGGGCATGTTATCAGGAAAGATCCTTGCCTAGAAAAGAGCAGCATGCTTGGGGGAGTGAAGGGTCCAAGAAAGACACACACCACACACACACACACACCCCCAGGAGACAGACTGACACTGCGGCTGCAGCAGTGGGCTCGGGCACCTCAGTGCTTGTGAGGATGGGGTGCAGGACCAGCAGGCTTTCATTCTGTGGCCACAAGACTTTTGAGTGGAGCCAACTCAACAGCACCTAAGGATAACAATCTTTACGAAAACAGGAAAGCAGGCTCTCAGGTTCGAACTGCTAAACTCCTGGTTAGCAGCTGAGCTCTATGGCCACTCCACCACAGCACTCCTTACCAGCACTGCTAGGGAAAGGCAAGAACAATTTTTCTGCACCGAACTGTTTACCCAACAATCCCAGGGTAAACAAGTATGCATGTGTGCAAATGTTCACAGCCACCCACTCAACTCTCCAGGCTGTGGCCACCTCCCCTGAGGAAGGCTGGCCCTCACACCTAGGTAACCCACTGTCTACAGGGAGAGGAAGTGGTCTTAGCCCCACCACCAGGCCTACACAAGGCTGCTTCTCACTTGCAGCTCAGCATCCAGAAGGTTGCAATGCAATGCCTTCTGGCCCCCCACAGCACACCCTGACTATCACCACCCGCAGGAGGATGGGGCTCACCCTGCCTCTAACTTCAAGCCTTACCACTATAACAGGAGGGAAGAGCAAGCCAATCCCTGCACAAGGGCCCCTCAGCCTTGGGGACAGAGAGTAAGGGCACTGTTCAACTTCTCACAGCCACCCTGGCAGTGGAACCCATGTCGAGAAGGAATAGAAAAGTCTTGTCGCACTCTTAATTTCATAGGAAAATCAAAGCCTCCAAGAGTGACACGGCAAGTGGAAATCACACGTTAGCAGCAGCATCAAGCCCAGACCGTCAAGCTCCCAGCTCCTACCTCTCCCTCTTCTCTGCTCTCCTCGCCCTGACCCCATTCCCCACTGCCTCTATTCTTCCAGCAGGAGGCTGAGCAGACAGGCTCCTTAGATCAAATGCGTCAAGGTAACACAAAGGATTTTCTGTTCTTATCATTACTGAGCACTGCCCAAACCATACAGGTTACCACAGAATCAATTCCGACTCATAGCAACCCTGCAAAAAAGTACAGATGTGTCCGAGAGGGTTTCCAAGGCCCCAATCTTTACACAAGCTGACTCTGCATCTCTCTCCTGAGGAGCAGCTGGTAAGTTTGGTTGACAACTGAGTACTTCACCACTGCACCACCAGGGCTCCTATCATAGCCTGCTGTTATGTGCTATCAAGTTGAAATCAACTCACAACTGATCCTCTGCTGGATTTGCAGAGGCTGTAAATCACATGGGAGGAAATTGCCCATCTTTCTCCTATGGAGCAGCTGGTGGATTCAAACCTCGCTTCTTTGGGTTGGTGGCTCAGCTCCTAACCACTAGGCCATCAGAGACCCTCTACCACACCCAAGTACTTCTCAAATTTTAATGGGTCCTAAAACATAAAATCCATTAAAAATGGAAATGCTTAGAGAGATAGAGGGTCAGTGAAGGACAGGAAGACCCTCAGCCAGATGGATTGACACAGTGTCTGCTGTAGTGGGCTGAAGTGTGTCAGGAAGTGTGGGGATGGTGCAGGCTAGGACAGGGGTCAGATCTGTTGTGTTCACAGGCTCGCTATGAGTTGTACTCAACAGCACCTAACAACAGAGCATAAGAAATCAATGAGACTTCGATTGTCAGAGCTGGAGAGAGAGGGATGAAAGAAACGAAGGGTCTGGGCAATGTGATATGTGTAGGAGCCAGTGTGAGAGGGAAGAAAGATGAGGGTGTGTATGTGAGTGTAGAGGAAGCTGGGTGTGAGGGATGCAGGGAGGGACAGGGCAAGGCGAGGCTGGCAGGTGGCAGCAAAGCCAAGGGTAGAGTCCTTGGTGGCTCTGCCCAGCTCTCCTCCATCAGGCACAGCGAGCTCCCTGGTGGGAGCGCTGCCAGAGCTCAGAGGACTGCTCCAGTCAGACCTCTTGGTCAGACTAAGCCCTCCCAGAGGCACAGGCTGGCCAGAACGAGCTGACGTGCTTCCCCCTCAGCTGCCGCCCTGGTCAGTGGGCAAGAAAAAGTTGGAGCCACAGGAGAAGTTGTAAGTGACTTCCTGTGTGGAGGCAAATGCGGACGTTCTCACACTGGCTGGGTTTCCAAGGAGAAGGAAGAGCCAGGGCATTAGAGCACACAGGACGGGTTTGCAAACAGTCAGGAAGTTTTCCTGGAGCAAAAACCATCAAAACAGAATTCTTTTGCTGGGTAATATTTTCCTCCCTGCCCCTGTCACCGTGCTCAAACAGGTCTGTTGTTGTTTTCATAATCTGGGAGAGGAAACTGAGCCCCTTTCAGCAGAGACCTCAGGCGCCAAACCAAACCACTCAACAGATCCTCCCAGCAGGCTTTCCATCCCCCACGCAGAAGGGCACGGTGGAAAGTTTGGAACTCACTTGGTGCTCCCACACCCCACTGCTTGCCAACCCCTCACAGTGCAGGCCTCAACTCCCTGGACGCCACCTGGTCTGTGCTGAAGGGGCTAGAATCCCACGTCGAGGGATGAGTGAGATGCTGAGTGGCACCAAACATTTATGGGCCTCTGCTGTGTGCCAGGCACTTTGCATATGACTTGATTTAATCTTCACAGTAATTGATGAGCTATATTACTATCCTCACTCACACATGAAGACACAGAGATTCAGTAACTTACTCAAGGTAGTGAGGAGGGCCAAGATTTGAACATAGGTATCTCTGAGTCCAGAACCCTTCCCACTCCACCCCATTGCCTCCCTGGAATGTCTCTAGAACCAAAACCTCCCAATGAAGACCAGGGGGTCAAGGGGGGCTTGGCATGCTAGAATGGAAAGTCAGTGCTAAGAACCCACCAACACCGGCACAAAGCCCAGAAGCAACGCCAGTGCCCACACCCCATCACACACAACACTGAGTGCAGAAGCAAAGACAGTCGCTCCTGTCCTGTGTGGGTCCCACCAACAGCTGATCGAGGGGCACTCACCCTGGACACACTCCCTGCCCAGGGTCCTGGGATTCCAGGTCAGCAGGCAGAGAGCCCAGGACATCCAAGGCCTTTACTTACCTTCCTGAAGCTTCACGCTCTGGAGGTAGAGGGGGTTCCGCAGGACATTGCAACGGCCTGGCTCATCCTCCTTGGTGAAGAGCAGCAGGTCTGAGTAGGCAAACAGTGTCACCTGTACCAAGCCAAGAGCAAACAGAGTGGAACACGCACGCTCACACCACCTGGTCCCTTCATCTCTGTCCTCCTCCCTCCCATGCAGACGTCCCATTGGTTTCTAGGATCCATTCAGGGAGTCTTGGTGGCTCAAAGCTCAGAGCTACTCAAAAGATCAGCCATCCGAACCCACCACTAAGACATAGGAGAAAGACGTGGTGGTGTGTTTCCATAAAGGTTTACCATCTTGAAAGGCCATGAACGGTAGTGTTACCAACTCTGCTCTACAGAGTCACAACTGACTCGATGGTAGTGCACTTAGGACTCATTCAAATTTGAGTATGTGGTGGAGGAGGGGTGCGATATGCAGTATTACATGTCTATTGATGACAAGAATGAAAGGCTTTCTCTGCTGTGCTGCTTTGCTCAGATTTGGGACAAGCCCAGGACCCTTGCGAAGAAAGGAAAGAAAAAGTCAAATGGCTGTCCTTTGGTGGTGAGTGGGGTGGAGAAGGCAATGGAAGAGCCTGGCTGCCCCATCGTCCCCTGGAGGCCAGGAGTCACCACCTTGTCTGCAGGCCTGGCTCACACATCCTCATCATCTCAACAGAACCAGGATCCAACTCAGCGTGACCTCAACCCAGGACCCAGCCTGCAGTCCAGCTTGGCTCCCTCCACTTCTCAAAAGTAGGAAAAAAAGACACAGAACAATCAACCTTCTACAGCAGACGTACTCTACAAGTGGTCCTATAGAAGTGGGGCCTCACAGAATGACCCAGCACCCTAAGCCTCCAGCCCAGCATCTTGGTCTGAAGTCGTCCTTGAGCTGCAGAAAGGTCCTTTGTTGCTAAGTGTCTGGTTGAAAGAACACTAGACTCAGAAGTCCTGGGGCTCCTTTCTAAACTCTGCCACTAACTACCCACCACCACTGAGTCAACTCTGACTGACAGTGACGCTGTAACTGGCCATGAAGGTCCCACCAGCCCACTCCACCTCCGTTTTCTCATCTAAACAGAGGAGAGGCTCTTTGAGCACTGACGGAGCCCTGGTGGTGCAGCAGGTTCCATGGTGGCCTCCTAACTGAAGGGTCGCCACGAGTCAGAATCTGCTGGGTGGCAACAGGCATGGTTTGGTTTTGTTCCCTGAGAATCGAGCCCCCCAGACAATGTGAGGGATCACTCCTAAACTCCTTGCAGATGATTGTGATGGCACCCATGTGAGACATCATTACAAAACTCCTTGAAGCAAGCTCTCATTGCCTAGGGGTAAGGAGCTGGGCTGCTAGGCCAAAAGTAGGAGTTCAAATTCACCAACTGTTCTAGGAAGCAAGACGGGAAATATCCTCTATGCAATTTACTGTCTCTGAAAACCCACTTGGGGTGGGGGTGGGGGCTGTTCAGCCATGAGTTGGTTCTGATTGGATGGCAATGAAAGAGAGAGCAAGAAAAAGAATGTGAGATTAAGGAGCGCTGGTGGTGTAGTCCACAGAGAGTCATGCCTCTCTCTAGAGGTTCAAATCCACCAGCTTCTCCAAGGGAAAAAGTGGGCAATCTCCTCCTGTGCAATTTACAGCCTCAGAAACTCATTGGAAAGTCAGCTATAAGTCAGTTCTGACTCCACAATAATGAGTTTTAAAAACTCAGTAATGAGTTTTTAACCTGAGCAGATCAGTTGAATAAAAAGCAAGTGACTTATGCTCTGATACAGACACATACATAACTTTTCTCTTTCATATACGCACTGTTCCAAAAATAAAGGTGAAAGCTATTTTTAGGCATTATAGGTAAACCAACAGGCATACTCAGCATATTTTTATACTAAAAGAAAAGTCACTCTGGGGGAAAACCGAAAACAAAACACTGGATTCCCTGATGCGCTAATGATTACACTATTCTTTGTTTTGTAAATCCTGCAGTGGCCTTTGGTCAAAGGCAATAAAATCCAATTTCAGATTCTCCAGAGAAAATTAATATGATTAATGATGTGAAATTCTCTTTTAATTAAGTGAACTTGACACTTCCTCTTTGTTGAAGAAAAAAAGAGTAGGCCAGAAGGGCTTTGCATGGACTAAGGGGCACAGTGAATGTGTGCTGAAGTTTAAAAACTCAGCATGTTGACATTTAGCTACCAAAATACTAGATGGCTAGACAACTTCATTTCTGAGACACTGTGCTACAGAAACACCAACAAGGTCATATAAGGATTTCCCTGCAATATTTTTATAATAAAAGAATGAAAGTAACATTAATAGTCATCAAAAGAAGATGAACAAATAAACTGTTATCTTCCTTTAAGGGGGCTCTGGTGCCCTAGTGGCAAGGAGTTGTGCTGTAATCCCAAAGGCATGCAGTTCGAGGCCACCAGCTGCTCCGTGGGAGAAGGATGGGCAATCTCCTTCCAGGCGATTAACTGTCCTTGAAAACCTGCTGGAGGATCAGCTATGAGTCAGTTCTGACTCTATGGTACACAGCAAGAGCAACCTTCATATGAGAGAGTTCTGGTGGCTTAGTGGTAAGGAGTTGTGCTGTCAACCCACATGCACATGGTTCGAATCCACCAGCGGCAATCTCCTCCTGTGTGATTTATAGCCTCTGAAAACCTGCTGGTGGGCAACTCGACAACATAACACCACCATCTTCACACAGGCCAGGCTGAAAGAGAGCTAGATGGCAAGCAGGTAGGGGGGAGCCATGAGCAAGGTGAGAAAAGCCCCAGGCCACTGCTTTGCCAACTCTTATTCCCAGAACTGAGAAAGTAGTCTAGACAGGAAGTGATTAAGGCATGAACTGAAAATTTCCCAAAGACTGGGTCAGGGAAAGGACAGAGCTGGCACACAGCTGGAGGCTGGGCAGTGGCACTGGCGGGAAAGTGGTCCCCTCTCCAGCTCACCAGCATCTTGCTAGCTTTGCCCCAGCAACAACACAATATCCCACAGTAGGGTGATTCCATCTCTGGGGTCCATTTACCTGCTGCCTTCCACACCAGACCATGAGGATTGCCCCATCTCTTCCCCAAACTTGCTCCAAGGACACATCTGGCTTCCAAGGGATCAGGGGTTGGAGGGTCACTTGGATAAGAAATCCTTCAACTTGGAGGATCACTTCTCCCAAGAGGCTCCTTCTTAACCATGCTTCCTCTTGGGAATCTGGCCTAAGGGCAGGGTATGCCCAAAAGACCTTGGAGCCTAGTTAATGGTAAACTTAACCAATCAGTATGTAAAGTGAGGGTGTGTCTGCCTTGTGTCCCACGGTATTTGCGGAACTAAGCACAGAGCCTGGCTATACTGCAGAAGTTCAAATACCTATTGTCTAAATGAAAGGGCTTCAAAATGCTGATTTTATTTCCATTTAACTACATTTTTTTTTCCATTTAACTACATTAATGACTTGTCTCTCATGTTGCAAGGAGAGACAGGTCTTTAGAGAGGGACATCATGCTGGGTAGAGTAGAGGGACAGCGCAGGAAGGGAAGACCCTCTATGAGGTGGATTGATTCAGTGACTGGGGTAATCGGGATGGGTGTGTCAGAGGCAATGAGATTGGCACAGGATAGAGCACGGTTTAGGGCTGTTGTACATAGGGTCGCTATGACTCGCAAACGACTCACGGCACATAACAACAACACATTTATGACTTAAGGGTGAGCGGGTAAGGAGGACAGTTCATAATATGAGACAGTATCTAGAGTTCACAGATACTAGCAAATCGAACCACATTCAGAGAAGAGATGGGACAACGAGCAAGAGAACCAAACAAAAAACCAAACCAACTGCCATGGAATTGATCTGGACTCACAGTGACCCCTCAGAACAGAGCAGAACCTTCTGCAGCAAATTTCCAGCCCTGGAATCTACAGAAGTCTTATCTTTCTTCCACAGATTGTCTGGTGGGTTTGAACCACAAACCTTTTGGTGAGTGGCCAAATTCTTTAAACACTGTGCCACTAGAACATTCAAGGAATACAGATTTCTGTTTAAGGTAAAGAACTTTCTATGATTCAGCAACAAAGCCAGCTGCCTGGGGCCGATGTCCCTGCAAAGAACTGAAAGGAAAACCAGCAGCTGGGAGCATTGGTGCTTCTGCATGCTGTTGATTTCAACTCGTTCCAACCCTACATGACAGCATGACCTCCACAAAGGGATTCCTACACCCTAATCTTTACAGGAGCGGATTGCCAAGACTTTTCTCCCCTAAAGCCACTGGCAGGTTCAAACCACCAACGTTTCCATTAGCAGCTGAGTCTTTAACCACTGTACCACTAGGCCTCTTTCTGGGAATGCTGTTGTTGTTGCTGTATACTGTCGAGTCAGAACCGACTCATAGCTAAGCCTCCAGTACCTTTTCAGAAGCTGTAAATCACATGCAAGAAGGATGCCTATCTTTCTCCCACAGAATAGCTGGATTCAAATTGCATGCATCTGTATTGGCAGCACAACCCTTTACCACTAGGCCACCAGAGCTCCCTTCTGGAAAGTTAAGGTAATTAGAATCTCTCGTTCACTCATCGCCATCAAGTCAGAGACAACTCATGGCTGCCCCTCCAGCAGGTTTTCTAAAGGCTGTAAATCACACGGGAGGAGACTATCCATCTTTCTCCCATAGAGCCACTGGTGGATTCGAACTAGCAGAGAAGCATCACCTTTAAGTCAGCAGCACAACACTCTATGGACTACACCAACAGAGCTCCCGAAACAGATGGATTTTAACAGATGGCAATTAAAATAAAGGGTCCAATTGACACTGAGATTCTGTGAATATATCCAAACATTTCTTAAATTAGCTTATACTTTGGACTCAGGTTACCAGGTTACCAGGACCTACACATCTGATTCTTATCATACCTCAAGAAAAAGAAATATGTTGGTTAAATTTGTCTTTAATAGTTCTACCATTTAAGAAATAAGACTAAGCTAGCTTCCTGATTTAGCCATAATCATACTCAAGACCATGGCAGAAAGAGTTCTTAGCGATTGGCTAACCTCAGGGCTCAATCCTTCCTGCCTCCAAGACACACTCACCCATTGTTCAAATAGGAAGACTGAGGAAGAAAGGGAAAGCCATGAGCCAGCCAGTAGTGTAGCTGGAACTTGCCAGAGGCTTCCTGCCACCAAGTTACCTGATCTTCCACTATCATAAGCTGCCAGCTCAAAAGTCAGGGCCTAATCTGTAGCACCTTCACTCAGAATCCCGAAGTAGCCCAGTCCAATCCCAGGGCTCCAACTTTGGTTCTCAGGTAGATTTAAACTCATGCACCTGAGCTGGAACCTAGCCCTGGGGACAGACTGAGTGAATAAAAGTCCTCTCCTGTTGGAGAGAAGGGAGACTTGGCTTCTGAGAATGGCAAAGTCCCTCTCCCCACTCCTCATCAGAACAGTTAGAGCCCAGGAGAAATCAGAAAAGGATTTAGTTTGGGGTTACCCTGAACACCCTCTAAAAATTTCCTTTGTCCAGCAGTTTTAATCTTCTCATCCACAAAAACCCTTATCACAAGACCTCTGCCATCTCTTCTGCTCCTTAAAGGGAGTGGGAAAACAGAATGTCTTCAGAGGTTGGGAAAACTTTCTAGTCATTTAAAGATTAAATAACTTTAAGAGGTAGTCTAAGTTTCCTATCACTGGAAGAATACAAGATGAAACTGGGTGACCATTTGGCAGAGGAGAGGTGGGAGTGGGGGGTGGAAGACCTTTCAAGTGCTTTCTACTCTGAAATCTCAGGGTATAACAACTTTTCTCTCTTGCACATCAGGAAGAGAGGGGCCTGGTGGATGAACGGTGGACCACCAGGGAACCTGTATGAGAGTCTTACCTCTGAGGCCTTGTTCCTTCCCTCATACAGCAGCAGCTCCTCTGACAACAAGAGGGTCCGGGCTGGGTTGCAGAGATCTAAAGGCTGGAAACAAAGCAGAGCAGAGCTGAGTGGGCAGTTCAAAGAGACATACCATACCGGAGGGAGGAGACAGTTTGTTGAACCAGTCACGGAGAAGCCTTGTAACAGAGAAGCCCCAACCCCCCACCTCACCCCCTGCCCCATGAACCCACAGGTCCCCTCACGTACAGCACCCAAGATGGAAACAGAAAGGCAGATCTACTTGTCGTGTGCGGAACTGCTGCTGCCACCTTCCCCACCACCCTCATTGTGAGAGCTGTGCTCTCGGCAGGAAGTCCAACCACATGTTCAAGCCCTCAGCAATCTTCCCCCTCCTCCTCCCAGCTCCTGCGCCCTCCCAGCCCCCATACTCTCTGCGAAAGTTCCTGTTATCAGGCCCACGTTCTCAGGGACGCCTCCTGCCCAGCCTATGACCCACACTCACACCAGGAGATTTGGTCCTTTGAACCCTTTCAGGTCCAGGCTGGGCCCCTGTTCTTCATCTGTACTGTGCCCTCACTTACTGACTCCTTTTCAACCATCAATTCCCCTGGGGCCAATTCTCAACCAAATCTCTCAGCACACTCCATCCTCTGCTTCATACCCCCTAGAGAAAGCAACCTGAGCTGGTTATCTCCATGAATGTAAGTTCAGATTGTGCCTTTTAAATACATGAGGCCAAGCAAGGAGGTGCATGAGGAAAGATGGGGGGGGGGGGATGTCAAGTTCTCATAGCAGCCTGGGTAAATCTTATAATGTGAAGCAAAAGACGCAAGACTCAAAAGAATACATACAGTTACTTTAAACACCACCCAGAAAGAGGCCAAACAAAGCACATTAGTCAAGGAAGCACACAGAGATGGCAAAGCTAAAAGAAGTAAGGAAATGATCAATATAAAGACAGGTGAGTGGATTCCTCTGGTCAAGAAGGTAATCTTCAAGGTCAAGAGGGTGCTCTGAAGGTGATAATGGTCTATTCCTTTATCTCAGAGGAAACTCAAACCCATTGCCCTTAAGTTGATTCCAATTCATGACAATTCTCCATCAGGTTTCCAACTCTAATCTAGAAGAGGACATTGCCCCACCTTTCTCCCAAAGAGAGGCTGACTAGTGCATTTAAACCACCAACCTTCCAATTAGCAGCCCAACACCTAACACACAAGGCCACCAGGACTCTTCATCTCAGAGGACAGTCTCTTGATAATTATTCATTAAACCAGGAGGTTAATAGAGCTTCGAATTCCAAGTTTTCCTTTTTAAAACTAATTTCTTTTTCTAAAATTGTGAAAGTGACAATGAAAGATAATCCTCATTGAGAGCAAAACCTAAAAGAAAGAAAAGGCCAGCAGAAATTCAATGGCCTACAAAGCTGTCTGGAGAGAGGGGTGCCACCCATTGGAGGAAACAGTGAATTTCTAACCAAGTGTGAGTTCTGAGATCCACTTGCTGGTTTTGACTTGCCCAGCATGGTTATATAATTAATGAGCTATACAAGTGAAAACGGTTGAGATGGCAAAGGTTTTGTTGTATATTTTATCACATTATCATATACATCCTGGCAAGAAGCTGTGCTGCAATCCCCAAGGCACACAGTTCAAGGCCACCAGCCACTCTGCAGGAGGCTAGGCAGTCTCCTCCCATATGATTAACTGCCTCTGAAAACCTGTAGGAGAGTCAACCATGGGTCAGTTCCAACTCTACAGTACACACAAAGAGCTAAAAACAGCAGCAACAGCAACAAAGATCCACATGGACAGTGATAACCCAGAAAGGAATGCCAGGGAGTCTAGCAAGGGGACACTTGGGAGCAAATGAATCCCGGGAGGCTACATCACCTCTCTGCTGATGATGAACAGATAAACTAATAGAGTCTTTCTGGAAAGCCATTTGTCAATATATATAAAGAGCCTTTAAAATGTTTAGGATTAACGACCCAACCATTTCACTTACAGGAAGCTCTCCCGAGCAAAATAATCAAAGAGGCAATTCACTAACAAAGATTTTTATCGCAGCGTTACCAGCAGTACCAAAAGGAACAGACATAACGTAAGCAACTGGATGGAGAACAGATTAAAAAATAAATAAGGTGCATCCACGTAATAGTAGAGTGTGCAGTCACTACAAAACATGGTTCAAAGGAGATTTAGTGACCTGGGAGATGTTCATGCTGCAATTTTTCCAAGGAAAAAAGGCTACAAAAATGGATACAAAAT